CACCAGGAATGATGCAGTGGTCAGGTAGGGGGCAGATACCTTCATGTCTAGCCCCTAAAGACATTAAAAGACATTAAGCGCTGACTGGGAGGCAACCCAGTAGATACATTTGCTCTCTGACAAAGAGCAAAGTTTTGGGGTGGTTATCCATAACCACACAGCTCCCAAAAAAGGAGGGAACGTCTGATGTTCCTCTCCCAAAAGTCCAAATAAAGTACGTTCCGTTCCAGGAACGTAGTTTTGGGGTGGTCCCTGACCACACAATCCCAATATAAATATATATATATAGATATAATTATATGTTTTGTTACATGTTCATTTAGATTTATTAAATAATTGGTGATAGGTTAGTACGTTCCCTTTTCCTTATTTAGTACTCACTGTTGCATGTTTTCTTATTATTTATTTCAGTTAGTTATTTATTTATTAGTTAGGAAAAGACAAAGGAAACGTTCCCTGGGTTAGGAGATAAGAGTGACTGGGACACCTGTCCCTGCTGAGTCACTTAAAAAGATACGCACTCATATCTAATTTGCATTCATTGCAAATCTTGGAAACGCGCGCAGAAAAAGCAACCGTCTCCTCAACCATTAAGACAACTGCACCCTTTCCTTTTCCCTCTCTCCCACGTCCTGACCTAAACCGTTCCATCTTCTCACACTCATCCCATCAGTAACTGGTCACCTACCGCTGACCACTCATTCTGTAACGTCCCTATTCCACTACCTCTTCAATCTCCTCTCCTTAACCTCCACGTCCCAGAAACCTTTCATTTTCTCCCCCACAGTCTATTTAAACTCGGTCTCTGATTTCTTCAAGTTCTACTACTTCCATTCAACTCAGAACCTTTTTATCCCTCCTGCATTTGTGCCCTAACTCCCTTTCTGAACAAAATGACTAAGCTTTCATTTGAAGTGACCCCTGTAGCCAACCGCTGCGAAGAACCAGAGCTCATTGAACCCACCATCATTCTGTACCCAGAAAGGAACATTTCTCTGCATCAGGACAAAGTGGTTCTGCCTCCATTTGTGAAGAAATCACTGGACAAACTTCGGTGGTTGCTTTTCGCCACTGATGACTATGAGTTGAACTTGAACTGGGTGGGAGAATTCCTATACCAGACGAGGAGGCTGCCCGAAGAGGAGGCACCTGATGTGGTCACAGTGAGAGGAAAATAAGTATCATTTTCCCCCGCTGATGTCTAGGAAGTACTCCACCTTCCTTCTGTCACCAACTGTCCATACCAGGAGTATTTGGATAGTAGGGAGGTGTACAAAATTCAGAAGGATCTGAAGCAGACAGTAGCCCTGGACAATCCCAACTACTACAAAAGGGTCCCTCTGTAAGGGGAGCATGAAGGACATAGCCAGGTTCTGGGCACTGTTTGCCAACTCCAACATCACCCCCACCTCTCATGAAGCCTCTGCTAGCTGGGGACTTCAAGTTCAAATTTATTGTATCATCAAGCACATCCCTTTTGATGCAGTAACCCTCATCTACAACAGCTTGCAGAGGGACATAAGGAAGACTAAGGTCTTCCTCCCCTGCCTCTTCACCAAACTCTGCAGGAGAGCTGGTGTAGAGGAACACCCAGATGACACCACGAAGGTGGCATCTATCCCTGATGCTAAGACCTGGAACGGTCTTAAAAGCACCTACATTGACACCACCCAACCTATTCCTGCCAATCTCCAACGTTCCCCCACCAGAGATAGTGAGGAGGAAACACCTGTGGCCTCACTGAAGAAGACCACCAAGGCCACTCCTATAAAATCCTCCTCCTCTGGCCACGTTCCGGCCAGAAGAACCATCCCTCCTCCTACCAAGGTGAAGAAGGATGGCCCCTTGTAACGCCTGACAACTTGCAAGGATCAACGACTGTCCCCACACACTAACACGAGACTTTTCAGCGTGCTTTGTCCTCACTCGCACACTTCCCGGGAAAACTTCCCAGGAGGTCACTCATCCCCGAATTGCTCCAAGTCAAGCACGCTTAATTGTGGAGTTCTTCCGATCTGGGCTACCGAAAAGTAGATGCATCTTGTTAGTATAGGTAGTACCAATTAATTCTTATAAGCCATTCCTAACTATACCATCACATATCAGCACAGTCTATGGAATCCTTCTCTTTCGGGTGTTGATTCGATTCATTCATGAACCCCCAAGCTGCAAGATTTCGCATAAGCCGCTCATTGTCCGTGCTCTTTCGCACCGGCGATCACTCCCTGCCCTTGCCAGCTCTTGGGATGTTACACGGCCACCAGCTTCCGCCTGGTTCGTCCTCGAACCACACCGTACTAGAAGAGAGGTCTGCTCTGATACCACTTGTAACGCCTGGCAACTTGCAAGGTTCAACGACTGTCCCCACACACTAACACAAGACTTTTCAGCGTGCTTTGTCCTCACTCACACACTTCCCGAAAAAACTTCCCAGGAGGTCACCCATCCCAGAATTGCTCCAAGTCAAGCACGCTTAACTGTGGAGTTCTTCCGATCCGGGCTACCGAAAAGTAGATGCATCTTGTTAGTATAGGTAGTACCAATAAATTCTTATAAGCCATTCCTAACTATACCGTCCCATACCAGAATAGTCTATGGAATCCCTCTCTTTCGGGTGTTGATTCGATTCGTTCATGAACCCCCAAGCTGCAAGATTTGGCATGAGCCGCTCATTGTCCGTGCCCTTTCGCACAAGCGATCACTCCCTGCCCTTGCCAGCTCTTGGGATGTTACACCCCTGTTGCGACTGATGGCAAATAGGGCAAGAAGAAATCTCCTGCCAAACCTCCCCCAAGAAAGGGGGAACGTTCAAGTCAGAGGATAAAGAGGGTCCTCAACAGCAATAGGCCAGAAGGAGCATCCTCTGCAAAGCCTATCACCCTCTCTGACAAGGAGGAGGAGAGTGAAGACAATGAGCCTTTAGCAAAAAGGATGAAGGCTGGCAGAATGTCAGCACCCAAACCAGCTGCCAAGGAGACGTCCCCAAGCAGCTCAGACTCTACATTTTCTGACATTCCGTCCCCAACACCTGCTCACTCTCCACCACAACAAATCACCCCACAACCCTCTCCTAGGCAACAACAAGGAGAGGGACAGAAAGACAAGGAAGCAGCATCTGCTGCAGAGACATCAGTGGCTGAGCAAGAGGCTCAGCCACAGAAGAAAAATGACAAAGGAAAGGGGATTCTCATAGAACCCCCTAAGAAGAAAGCAAAGACAACAGGCCCCAGGCATATCAATCTGGAAGGTCCTCTGTCATTTCCTGTCATCTGTCCTGATACATCTGGGGACGAAGCTCTTGCCAGAGCTTTGGCAGAAGAAGAAGGGATGGAAATTCCTTCACTGATGGAGGAACAAGCTGTGACCATGCCCTTATCATCCAGACCACCAGTGGATGAACCCAGCACAACACCCGTTGTGCCTTTTGCTGTTGGTAATAGCCAGCAGAAGAAGCAACCTATTTCCTCCCCTACTGCAGCAATCCCCATCGCAGCTAGAAGAAAATCACAAATTGGGATTGCTGAAATCTTTGAAATGCTGGGGGAGAAATTAGAAAAACGGTTGCCAACCAAGAAGTCTGTTCCCCAACTTGACATGACAAGCACCAATGCAGAGCTGCAGGCTCTAAGGGACGGACTAGCACAACTCTCTTATGCCTTCAACACCTTTCAGGAACAGCAGAAGGAGGAGAGAGAACAACAGCTCAGCACCATAAAAGCAGCCATCAAGGAAGCCAGTGCTGCACCCTATGAATCAACACTCCAAGGAGAAATTGCTAAAACAGCTAACTCCCTAATCCTTTCCAACTCTCTGCGCAACCACACAACAGAGCTCTTACTCAACAAGCTCGTCTACAAACAAGCTGAAGAACGTAAGGAAACCAAAGAAGCCATCAGGACCTTTGGAACGTACCTGGAAAGGAGAATTTATGAGTTGGAAATGAGACTGCTGGATGTTGAAAAACAAGTCATCCATTTTCACACTGGCAGAACCATGATGAGATCCACCATCAACTCCCTGGTTGCAATCATCAGCGATCTACTGAAGGATGCTGAGAAATGGCTCCCTGCACATGAAGTCCTCAGATTAAAAGATTTGCTCAGGAGGAGACCATTGACACAGGAGGAGATTGATGAAGCCAAGGAAGCTGAAGCTGCAAAGAGGAACCCTTGGGACAGGAGACCTCCACAATGAAAAGGGGAAACCCTCCTATTTATCCTAGCTTAGTTTGTTTTCAATTCTGTTTTTAATTTAGTTTCTTTCCGTTCCCTTGTAATTAATCTTTTTGAAATAGAAAATACCTTTTTTTGATCAAACTGTTTGGTATATGCATGCATTTCAGTTATAGTATTAAGACTGCCTAATTCTTTTGAATTAACTAACATACATGAAACACAAAGTCACTGACTAATCATGCTTGTTCTTTCTCTGAGTACTTGAAAATAGAAACAATGCAGGGAATTTAATCCTCAGATTTTTGAAAGAAGCTGATCTGTGTGAACTCAAACTGGTAAGGAACGGAAAAATGCCAAACACCTACTTCTGAGAGCGTTCCTGAGGTGTATCCACAATGAAACTTCTCAGCTTGCCTTAATGCTGTAAGTACTGCTGAAGACAGATGAATTCTGCTGTCAAGGATCAAAACAGAATCACACACTCACCTCACCTCCATCATACACCATATGGTCAATCAGAAAGAACAAGGAACGTACTTAACAATGAACAAAAAAAGGACAGAAGAAAAACAAAGAAAAAGGGGAACAACCATTCATAAGAATTCAAGAAAAACCAGAAAACCTTCCTCCAAAAGGGGAAAAAGGTTCAAGAAAAGGTGTTCCCTCAAAACAGAAAAAGTCCAAGTTCAAAGGCACAAAATCTAAACGTTCCTTGATCCCACTAATCAGACCACCACTTCTTCCACATTTCCATACACTTACCCACCAAAGAATCCTTGAAACGGAAGACAGCTGTACTTCATAGGAACGCAGCAGAAAGGCAAGTTCTGAAGAATCACATCCAGGAATGGACAGAGCAAACACCAACCCATGAGTGACAGTGAGACAAAAGATCAGCAACCTTCTCTTATCTGGGGACAGAATCCTCTTACTGTTTACTATGGAGAGTAGTTCATTTTCTGAAAAGTTCATGGTTGCTCGCTGGCTCAAGTTCCTTTCTGTTATGCTATTCTTTTAAATTGGGTAGACCAATACAATATTTCTGAGTTGTTTGAGGACAACAAACAGTTTAGTTTTGGGGTGTTTGATGGGACGTAAATTCGTTCCCATCTAAGCCCATTTTGATGGCAAAATACCATACGTTCCCTCATCTGATGAGCAACTTCAGCATGAAAATTACTTGTTTTACACATTTGTGACAAAAACACAGTGGGGGAACGGATGGTAACGTATTCCTTCAAAATATATTAAAAGGGGAATGGACTGAGACGCATTTAATGCACCTGCTCCATTCATTTAATGCTTCTGTACACTTTGCAGGTAACGTAGAGTTAAAGACTTCTAAAAAGCAAGGCGGTGCACCAACTGAGCAGCTGGAAACGTGAATAGCAGAGAATCAAGAGTTCTCATTGGCTGAAAACAGAAGCAAAGCATGGGAAGGTCTGCAAACAACGACTAATCATCACCAAATCCTGTTCCATTCAGCAATTCACGCAAGCTTCACACTCTGCTGCCACAGTCCCGTCCCCTCATTCAAGCAACTAGCTCCAAAGGAATTACAGTCTTCCCACTCCTCTTCCAGCTTGAAATAGGACCACCCTTACACAAAAACATCATCGAATCCTGGAGGGTTTGCAGTCCGAAAGGAAGAGATCACTTAGTAGTAGTTAGTAACTTAGTTTAATTTTAAGTTGTAACTGTAGTTAAGTGACAACCCCTCTTTTCTTCTCTGTAAACAACCATCAAGACTCCTCACGAGCAAATACCTATCTTTCTCCATTTTCTGTTTCTTTTTGTAAACTGTCTTTTAAATTAATATAAGTATTTTTCTCTTCGTTCCAATCGTTATCTCTTGACTGAATCTCGGGTCTATGTGATCTCAGTTGAGAATAATTATGTTTAAACTATCAGACATGAGCTGAACTATCTGTGGAACGGGTAAACTGTGAAACTCTTAAAGAACTGTTTTCAAAACTCTTGACCGAAGCTTTTTATATTTCTTTGGCTAAGTAAGCTATATTCATTGTGCGCCAATGGAAATTGGGTACATACTGAGAAAGGAACTTCCATAAGGAAGGGATTTTAGACAGCTTAGCCATTGGGGGAAGGTAGATGTCATGGCAAAAACGCTACTGGTCACCTTAGGAATAAGGGGCCAACTCGTCCATTTTAAGGTTCTGAACTAAGTACCTGTTGGAGTCAAGGGAGCCGTAGGAATATGGAAACTTGTGAGCCATCTAGACCATGAGCTGAGGAATCAAAGTTGGCAGGCAAAGAAACTGGGACAAAGCCAAAAGGTGCTAAGTCTTGAGCAAAGAAGACAACCCCTTTAAAAGTGAAGCAATGAATCTGTTTCTTCTGTTAAACTGTTTTAACCACCACCCTGTTGTCTCTTGATTATAGTTATTTCTGTTTTAGTAGTTTTTATTTTATTTAGTACTTATAAAAAATTCCAATGATTATTATCTCACCTTCTTCTAAACAGGAAGGATCACATACATAACACAGCGAACAACTGGTTGCCATCAGATTGAACCTACTTTTCTTGAGGAACGTTGATAAGACAGTAGAAAACGTTTGACCAGACAGTTCATTTACTAACTTTTCTTCTCATTTGCATTCTTTATAAACAGTGATAAAACAATAATTAGCACTCTATCCTCGTGGGAACGATAATTTGGGCATTAATACTCCATTTATTACTTGATGCGTGCACTTGCGCACTTGGGTTGGAACTAAGGGATGAATCTGTGTTCTGCAAGAACAGAGGAACGTCCCCTATTAGAACTTATATTTTTCCACCATCAGCAAACCACCCAACACCTAACAATATTAAACAGTAAGGCTGCTAAGGATATAGTCCCTATCCCAACAGAAAAGAAGTTGAATCCTACTACAACTGGGAGATCTACACAAGTCCAAGAGGTAACCCTTATAAATAAAAGGTTAAAGACCCCAGGTACACACTTTTTGACCTATTTACTATTATTGCCAACACTGTGCAGACACCCACGTCTTGGCTATAAGCCTATTGCTTTTGCGTAGTGATTGGAGAATTGGCTATAAGCCAATCTAGATACCTATCTCTAGGGTATCTCTAAGTGCATACCATACGGTATAGCAATACGGTTCTCTAGGACCGAACATTGGCGTCGTCTGTGGGGAACGACAAATTTCGACTCCCATCCATGGTGAACACACACGGCATAACACGAACTCACAGATTGCAGGCTACCTCGCGGGCCCTGAAATTGCTGAAACAACATATATATATATAAGGAGACAAACCCTACCGCAAAAAAAGGCTTTTGATCCTCCGAGAGACTCTAAAATGGAGCTCTAGATCCAAGCAGATGACGATTTGACAAAGATTCTCGTCGTCGCAATTCTTGATGGAGCAAGTAAAGACATGGAAGTCATTAAATCATAAGGAAAAAGCTTCAATCCAAAAGAGGGCTTAAAATTTAAAAGCTCGGCCTTGGCCTTGAGCTCAGCCCAGCGAAGGGCTTCAAGTCTAAAAGCTCGGCATCAGCCGTAAGCTTTAACTCAGCCTAACTAATGGCTTCAAATTTATTAGCTCGGCCTTGGCCTTGGCCTTGAGCTTAGCCCAGCGAAGGGCTTCAAGTTTAAAAGCTCGGCATCAGCCGTAAGCTTTAACTCAGCCCAGCTAAGGGCTTCAAATTTATTAGCTGGGCCTTGGCCTTGAGCTCAGCCCAGCCAAGGGCTTCAAGTTTAAAAGCTCAGCCTCAGCCTTGAGTTCCAACTCAGCCCAGTGAAGGGCTTTAAGAGTAAAGCTCGGCCTCAGCCTTGAGCTCCAACGCCACCCAGTGAAGGGCCCCAAGATTAAAGTTCGGCCTCAGCCTTGAGCTTCAACTTAGCCCAATAAAGGGCTTCATGATTATCAACTCAGCCCAGTGTAGGGCCTTAAGTTTAATAGCTCAGCCTCGGCCTTGAGCTCCAACTCAGCCCAGCGAAGGGCTTCAAGATTAAAGCTTGGCTTAAGCCTTCAGCTTTAACTCAGCCCAATGAAGGGCTTCAAGATTATTAACTCAGCCTAGTGTAGGGCTTTAAGTTTAATAGCTCAGCTTCGGCCTTGTGCTCCAACTCAGCCCAGTGAAGGGCTTCAAGATTAAAGCTCGGTTTTAGCCTTGAGCTTTGATGGGACGAAAATTTGTTCCCATCTAAGCCCATTTTGATGGCAAATTACCATCCGTTCCCTCATCTGATGAGCAATTTTAGCACTAAAAGCACATGTTTAATATCTTTATGACAAAAACACAGTGGGGAACGAATGGTGGCGTAATTCTTTGCAAAATATATAAAAAGGGGAACAGATTAGGAACATTAAATACACCTGCTCTACTCATTTAATATTTCTGACCACTTTGTAGGAAACGTTGAAAAGAAGTTTCCATAAAGCATAAGCGGTGCAGCAAAAAAGCAAGAGGAAACGTGCGCAACAGGGAATAAACGGTTCCTATTGGCTAAAGAGGAAAGCAAGGCATGTGGATGCTCAGAAGGAAAGACAAATCTCAACAATAACTGTCCCATCCAGCCACTTGTGCCCCTCAAAGCACTGTTCACACCGCCCCTTTCATGCAGTCAAGAAAACAACTCCAAGGGAATTACTCACTTTGCCATTCACTCTTCTGCCTATAAATAGGACGTTCCAGCGCGAAGAAAATCATCGAATTCCTTAAGAAGAGATCACTTAGTTTATTTTGTAGTTTTTCTTTTGTATAGTTTTAGCTGTAGTTAAGTGACAACACTTCTTCTCTATTCTGTATCACCCACTTGAGACTCCTCACGAGCAACAACCATATTTTCCACTTTCTATTTTGTTGCAACCTAAGTTGTTTCCATTTAAATATAAGTATTATTTCTCTCCTTTCTACTCGTTATCTCTGAACTGAATCTCGGGTCTATGGGATTTTAGTCCAATATAATTATGTTTAAAGTAGTAGCTGTGGGCTAAAACTATCTGTGGAACGAAAAAACTGCAAAGTTCTTAAAAACTTA